CAAAAAAAAGCAAAAAAAAAAAAAAAAAGCACCAGTCTCCTTGCCACTCTGAAATTGACATTACGGTGAGTCCGTGTTGATGCGGTGGGCCAGCTATGGATGGATTGGTGGGCCCACCAGCCATAGGTGGTCGGCAGACGGTTGCAAGGAAATGACCACGCCACCTTCGGCGATTTTTCATGCTCAGAATACTGTGAGAACAAATGTGAAAAAAAGTCTGACACATAGATTTGGTCCTGACCTTTTAAGAGATTGGAGAGGTGATCTGCAGGTCTTTAGTGCATGGGAATGGGAGCACAGCGATGTTCAGAAAGGCATCCACAATCACTCAGTTGGGGGTTCTCCACACTGCCAGTTGCAGGAGTAATCGTGTTGTCAGGACCCTGCATCGACACGACTTTAAAACTGCTACTTTCTGCCGATCATTTTGTTCGCGTTGTGTAGGTAGCGAGAGTTCGAGTGGTGGATGATGATTTACTTGTCGTTGCCGAACTTTCGCTACCTACACACACACACACACACACAGAGAGAGAGAGAGAGAGAGAGAGAGAGAGAGAGAGAGAGAGAGAGAGAGAGAGATGATGATGTACTTGTCGTTGCCGATGGTGTTCTCCATTGGAGGAGACTTCCAGGGGAGAGTAGTGGCAGCGGTTCACCAAAGTGTTTCTGCTGGCGAAGATGAGGAGGAGGGGATGTTACCACCGGGCCTAGCTCGGTTGGTACACCCATGAACTGTTGAAATACAGACCCGAGTTCGAATCCAGATGCAGTCAGATTAACAAAAATTAACACACTTCTGAATTGCCTAGGGCTGGTCAATTCAATGATATGCTAACTCAAGGCCATCGCCATTTTTAATTCGGAAAAAAAGAAAAGAGGAGGCGGTGATGTCATATTGATGGTTCAACTTTGCTTGCTCTCTTGTTCAAGACTGTGCATTCCAAATTTATGCAGCTATATGACTGCATGTGCTAATGGAGATCAGCAGTGCATTAAGCAATCCAAGCAACCAATTCCAGGGGTGCAGACCAGTCACCCCACCAGTGCCTACCTATGATGACCTTCCCCCGAGGCTCTGAAAAAGCTTCTTTGAAAAAAAATAGAAAAAAATAAAAAAATAAAAAGCTGCGGTTTCGCAGGATGGTAGATAGGGACAGTGGAAATCTCGTTAATGAATGCTCTGAAAAACTAGGCTACCAGCGTGGCCCGGGGCCACTTGCCAAGCCGGGCCAAAAAAAAA